TACTCTCCCTGAGAGCTCTTGAAGCCACTTAGGGGTTTATCTGTGCCCTCAGGGTAACCTGAATCAGGGTGCAAATAAGACTGGAGCCTTCTGGGAACTGCTGAATGGACTGTGGTTGTAGAGAGGAGATTGTTATTGTTGTTAGTTGCGAAGTTGTGTCTGACCCACCGTCACCCCATGGACAACGTTCCTCCAGGCCTTTCTGTCTTCTACCATCCCCTGTAGTCCATTTTAGCTGAGCCGAGGTGGCGCAGTGGTTAGGGTGCAGTACTGCAGGCCACTTCAGCTGAATGTTATCTGTAATCTTACTGGCTCAAGGTTGACTCAGCCTTCCATCCTTCCATGTGGGGGCAATATGCTGACTCTGTAAACCGCTTAGAGAGGGCTGAAAGCCCTATGAAGCAGTATATAAGTCTAACTGCTATTGCTATTGCTATTCTGTGACTCCATCCAGCCGCCTCATTCTCTGTCCTCCCCTTCTTCTATTGCCCTCAATCTTTCCCAGCATTATGGGAAAAACCCCTTCATGGATTACTGCCTTGTCATGGTGAAGAGGCTTGCGCAGCTGAACGAAGCTATGAGCTATGCTGTGCAGGGCCACACAAGACGGAAAGGTCATAGCAGAGAGCTCTGACAAAATGTGATCCCCTGCAGAAGGAAATGGCTACCCACTCCGGTATCTTTGCCAAGAAAACCCCATGGACAATGCTTCTTACTGGGAGAAGCTAAATCTAAGGAAATGCAACGGTTAATTTAATGTTAGGTTGGCATGTGTAGTCAATCCTTTCTTGTAGTCTATTAACACATGGCTTAGCTTGTTGTGTGAATATGATTTATTAGGTGCCATCGAGTTGAGTTTTTTTCTCCTAATGACTGCATAGAGTATCTGTCCTTAACCTTGTTAACCTATTCTCCAAAGCACCAGAAGGCAGGACAAGAAGCAATGGGTGGAAACTAATCAAGGAGAAATGCAACCTGTAACTAAGGAGGAATTTCCTGACAGTGAGAACAATTAACTAATGGAATGGCTTACCTCCCAGAGGTTGTGGGTGCTCCATCACTGAAGGATTTTAAGAAGAGACTGGACAACCACCAGTCTGGAACGGTGTGGGGTCTCTTGCTTGAGCAGGGGGCTGAACTAGAGGATGTATTGAGTCAAGCACAATAGAAATGGAAGGGACCTTGGGGGGCTTCAACCCCATGTGCAAGCAGAAGAGCCTATACCAGTGATGGCGAACCTATGGCACGTGTGCCACAGGTGGCACGCAGAGCCATTTGTCAGGGCACGCGAGGTGCTGCCCTGTCAGTTGGCCAGTGCACATGTGCGCGCTGGCCAGCTGAGGTCATCCTTTTTTAAAGCCATTTTTCGCCCTCCCCAGGCTCCAGAGGCTTTATAGGAGCCTGGGGAGGGCGAAAAGAGCCTCCCCCCCGAAGCCTCTGGAGCACAAAAAACCCAGCCCTACGGGCAAACCGGAAGTTCAGGAACAGACTTTCGGTTTGCTCGGAGGGTCGTTTTGACTGCTCCGGAGGCTTCAGAGAACCCTCCTGAAGGTCCCTGAAGCCTCCGGAGGGCACCCGGGGTGGGAGGCTGTTTTTGCCCTCCCCAGGCTCCTATAAAGCCCCTGGAGCCTGGGGAGAGCGAAAAAAGCATGCAAAAAATGGGGGTTGCGCCTGTAGTGCACACATGCGCACTGGGGGGGTGTCGCGCATTGCATTATAGGTGCGGCACACCCGCCCATGACCCCCCTGCACTCCCCCCACTTATGTCACATGAGCCAAAAAAGGTTCGCCATCGCTGGCCTATACCATCTCAGATACGTCCAGTCTCTTCTTAAAAACCTCCAGTGATGGAGCACCCACTATTTTAGAAAGCAAGCCATTCCACTGGTTAATTGTCCTCAGTGTGAGGAAATTTCTCCTTAGTTCTAAGTTGCTTCTGTCCTTCCACTCATTGCTTCTTGTTCTACCCTCAGGTGCCTTGGAGAATAGTTTGACTC